GCGTTTTTATCGTCTTTAAGCGAGTCAAAGACGCTGTGAACACCGCGGTGGCGACCGCGGCAGCTACTTGTCGAACGGTGTTTCTTCATTGTTAATAAATTGCTATCTACAGAAATGTATGATTAGTAATTGCTAAATTACGTAATTGCCCGACTATTGACCAACAATCAATATTACCGTATTATATAAGATCTATTTAAGAATGTAGGTTTAAACAAAAAAAAACATTAACTTCTAAATTGAATTCTAAATCAGAAAATTGTATTTATATTACAACGTGGGTTTCACCATTAGTAATAATACGACAATTAAATCGCGTATTTTTATGCATAAAGCGTATTCGACATTATGTGTCTGGGAATAATTAAGATAACGTAGGTGGATTGTTTTAGACGTATTTTTATTCGTACGCTGTGATTTCAAACCATTTTTGTACGCATTCCGCATGTAGTAAGCAATAGCAATCCACCTGTGAATGCACATCCAGCATTCACCATGAAACGATACTTAATCCTACAATGCATGACTTTTATTAGTTTTTTAAACATTTTTTTTGTCCATTGAACACTTTTAATAATCGGTACAAGGTCATACCTGTATATTGACAATACAAATTATAATTATTTTTACCTATTCGATTTATATTTACTTATATGACGTAAGTACAGACAGTGCACACCGACAGTTGTAAATAATCGATATATTTTACAATACCTACATGGGAATATGAAAGAAATAAAATCGACTTGTATTACGATTATATTTAATTGATTTACAAAAATACATTATGAATTAGCTAAAGATATAAATGTTGAACAAGTGTTCAGTCAAAAAAGAAAAGAGAAAACCTAAACAATTATTTGATTATAAGAGCAATGAATCAATAATAGTGAAGGAGTATGTTTAAACAAGATTATTTTATTATTATTCTTTATCAAAATAGGTATTATTTCGATAAAAGAAAAACGTGGAGATTTTATGCGGTATGAAGATAAATTTGGTTTTTTTTATTCAATATTAAAATTTTTAATTAAATTAAATAAATAAATGGTGAAAATCTAATGAAACATTGTAAAGATTTACTAAATATTTTGTCTGATCGTGACTTAAAATATATCTTTACCGTTGTTGTTAATTTTTAATACGTCTTTAGTAATTGGCTATTATCATTTAGTATTTAAAAATATATTTTAACCCTATTGTTTAAATCTGATGATAAGTTAACACGTGTCAATTATAGACAAATATGATTAAAAATTGAAAGTGATTGTACGAAAAAAAGGTTACCGTAATAAACTAGCCATGTCCTAAATAAATTCCTGTGGACTTGACTCCTTAAATATATTGCTGTGACTGCCCATTAACATAGGGCCTCATAATTTAGAAACCGCTCATAGCAGCCACACAAATCGTAACAACGTACCTAACCTACGCAACAGTTTAAGCTTTATTTTAACACTCATTTTAATATTTCACCCCTCTGATTTTTAAAAAGTAACTCACTCTTCAATCACATATTCGAATAGAGAACGTTTTTCTAGAAATGACGATGTGGTAAACCAGAATTGTCCGGAAAATAATCATACGGACTGTAATATTCCGGAAAAAAAAAAAAAGAAAATCATTAACAGCATTTATACGGACTGTGAAATTTCGGAACGTATAAATTTACAAACAAGAAAACGGCGGGCTGTAAAGATCCAAAAAAAAAAAAATGAAACACTGTAAATGTCCGGACTGTAATCGGCCGGGAAAATAAAAAAAAACATGGTCCGACCAGGATATTCCGGACTGTAAAAATCCGGAAAGCATAAGTGTCTAAACCAGAAAGTAATGGGATTAGAATAATTCGGAATACAAAAATACGCACACTGTAATGTCCCGGACAAGAACTTTTCGGAATTTGACAGAAAAAAAAACAAAAAACAAATTCAATTAAAGTCTTCCAGTAAAAC